GAGCTGGCCACACACACACACACACACACACACAAAAAAAAAAAATATTTTTTTTTTTTTTTTTTTTTTTTTAAGAAGAGACCAAGCAGCTGACCTAGGGTAACTAACTAAAAGGCAAAGGTAGCCGGGTGTGGCAGCATACACCTATAATCCCAGCACTGGGAAGGCTGAGGCAGGAGGGTTGCCAGGAGTTGGAGGACAGCCTCGACTACATAGAGAGTTCAAGACCAGGCTAAACTACATATTGAGCGTGACCTTGTCTCAAAAAAGTTTCTTGTCCCACTTGTGCTGCATCTCTGTGAACCACGACCGTCTGTCCAGAGCACACTCTTTCTGTATATGGACAGCTAGGGCTTGCAAATGGCTGCCTCTCACCATCACTCTCTCTTTCCCAGGCCGGCTGCCCACCGTCCAGAGCGTGCGACATGGCTCTAAGGCTGTGACCCGCCACTGGCGTGTCATGCACTACCAGCGGCAGAAGCTGATGGCTGTGACCGAGTATATCCCTCCCCGGCCGGCCGTGAATCCACGCTGTCTGCCGCCTCCCTCCAAGGCCTCCAAGGAGGTAAGGCACCTGGGTGCCCAGGTTGGGTGGTGGCATCGTGCACTGAAATGACTTTTCTTTCACGGTGAAGTCGTGGTGTTGTCCCGAGCAAGACGGGGTGGGGCAGCTGGGGACATAGCTCAGGTCCTGCGTATGATCTCCAGTAAAAGTAAGCTCATTTTGTGAAAATGTGTCAGTTTTAAACTATTGATACCTAAGAGTTACCTTTTTTGTTTGTTTGTTTTGTTTTTATTTGTTTTGAGACAAGGTCTTGCTATGTAATTCAGGCTGGCTTTGAACTCACTATGTAGCCCAGGCTGGCCTCAGACTTTTGGCAGTCCTCCTGCCTCAGCCTTCTGAGTATAAGGATGTGTACCTCCGTGTCCAGCCAAAGTGTTACCTTTTATTTCTATTTATTTATTTATTGGTGCTGGGATTGAACCTGGGCCCTCGTACATGCCAAGCATGTGCTGTGCCCCTGAGCCGAACCCCCAGCAGCCCAGTTTTGTGTTTGTGATTTTTTTTTTTTTAAAGATGACCTTTTATTTATTTATTTATTTATTTATTGCGGAACCGGGGATTGAACTCAGATCCTTGTGTTTGCCAGTCAAGAACTTATCCTACTGAGCCATCTCCCTGGCCCCTGTGCTTGTGATTGGTAAATAATCCAGCACAGGTAGAGTGCAGCTTGATCCTTGGGCTAGTTCTCGCCTGTTACTGCCCAGCATGGTGGTGCACATCTGTCATCCCCAGCACTTGGAGGCTGAGACGGGGGGATTGCCAGGATCATGGCCAGCCCCCCGTTGCAGCTCTCTGGGGGTGAGCGAGGGGTGCCTGGTGGAGAGACAGCTGGCACCATTCGGCCATGTGCCCTTGCTCAGGAGTCAGGCCTCATCCGGCTCCTCCGGCGGGAGATAGCAGCGGTTTTCCGAGACCACCGAATGATCGCCGTCTGCCAGAACGTGGCCATCAGCGCCGAGGACAAGCTCCTCCTGCGGCACCAGCTGCGCAGACACCAGATCCTGGTGAAGGTCTTCCCCAACCAGGTAGGCGCAGCTCGGGTCGGGGACCGCTGCCCAGTGTTGCCCCTGGTTTGGCTCTGCCTGTGCTGTCTGTCAGCCCGTCACTCTCCTCCAGCACCACCGGTGACCCAGGGAGTGGCCCTTCCTGTACCTGGGTCTCCACAGGCCACTCTTTCCTGCCATGCCAGGTCCTGAGGCCCTTCTTAGAGGATTCCAAATACCAAAGCCTGCTGCCTCTGTTTGTGGGCCACAACATGCTGCTGGTCAGCGAGGAGCCCAAGGTCAAGGAGATGGTGCGGATCCTAAAGACGATGCCCTTCCTGCCGCTGCTGGGTGAGCACACGCTGCCCCTGGGGGCTGGGCTGTGAGGGTGGGTGCTGTGGGACCTGCTGCCGTGTCTTCAAGGGAGGGGCCAGAGTCAGCAACATGCTTGGGTTCGTTTTTTTTTTAACTTTTGTCTTCCTTTATTTTTATTTTTATTTTTTTTTGCGGAACCGGGGATTGAACTCAGGCCCTTGTGCTTGCCAGGGAAGCGCATATTCCACTGAGCCATCTCCCTGGCCCTTGGGTTCGTTTTTTGAGACAGGGCCTCCTGAGGTGAAGTCACTGTGTATAGCCCAGGCTGGCTGTGCTTCTTGGCAATCCTCCTGCCTCAGCCTCCCAAGTGCTGGGATGACAGACGTGCCGTACCACGCTGGGCAATATTCGATAGCTTCATAATGTAGGACCATTGCCCCATCTATTTCCATAAATTTTTTTGTCTTGTGAAACTGAAACTCCATTCCCATCAAAAAATAACTTCCTGGGGTCAGGGAAATGGCTCAGTAGAATAAGCACTTGCCTGACAAGAGCAAGGGTCTAAGTTCAATCCCCAGTTCCACAAAAATAAATAAATAACTTCCTGTTTTACTCCTCCAGTCCATGATTCTGTCTTCAGGGAAGCTTAGCCAGTGGGTGTGGTGGCCTGTAATCCCAGTACTGGGGAGGTTGAGGCCAGAGAATCACAAGTTGGAGCCCAGCTGAGGCGATTTCGTGACCTAGGGAGATCCTGTTCCAAAACCAACAAACAGAAAAGGGCTGGGGATGTAGCTCAGTGTGCGGTTTTGAAAGGAAAGACAGTGTATTTGGGGACCTGGGGCCAGGGGATGTGTGAGGCAGGTTTCAGAGGGAAGCACGGGTTGATCCCCAACAGTAGAGATGGGGTGGGGCACAAGTGGAACCAGGTTCTGGGAATGTTGGTGGGGATGAGTTCAGGGTTGGGGCATCATTTCGGAGAAAGAGGCGCTTGTGTTCATGGGGGACTCAGCTGAGCCCATGTCCTGCAGGTGGCTGCATCGACGACACCATCCTGAGCAGGCAGGGCTTCCTGAACTACGCCAAGCTGCCGAGCCTGGCCCTGCTGCAGGGCGAGCTGATAGGAGGACTCGGCCTCCTCCTGGGCCAGACCTGTGCCCTGCTCCAGCGCCAGCCCGTACAGCTGACTGCCCTGTTGGAGCAGCACATCAGACAGCAGCAGGACAGGCCCTCGACCTCGACAGCTGGTGGGAAGCCAGGCCCTCCCGAGCCTGTCCTGGACTCCTAGTGCCTGGCGCCTGGCCCCCCACGACACACCCAGCGTGACTGCAGGCCTCCGTGGGCCATGGGAGGCACTCAGCGTGGCGTGGGCGACCTGACTTCCATCAGCAGCCCCCTCCCTGTGTCCAGGGCTGGCTACTGGGGAGACAGCTGAGGCTGTTAGTCACTGTCTCTGTCCTCATGCCCCAGCTGGGGACCTGACAGAAGCAGCACCTTCTGTTCTCAGTTGTGCAGCTGGAAGGCTGCAGCTCCGCCCTGGCCTCTTCCCCCGGTCCACTGCTCCTTGCTGATGTCTTCCTGCCCTCTTGGAGGGCCTGGCAGCCACACGACCTCTGCTGAGTGATGGCGCACGGAGTGGCCTGGTTGAGCTTGCACAGTGCCTGGACCCGGGAGCAAAGGGCAGTGTGTGAATGGCCCGTCACAGGTCTTGCAGGTAGCAACAACAGGACAGTGATGCAGACTAGGCTGTTGCCCTGAATCTGGGTTGCCCACATGGTTCCTGGTGGCTTGGAGGCCAGCTCCCTGTCCTCGGGCGCCACCCCAGCCACAGAGGGTACCCTCTGATAAAGTGAAACGTAATTAATGACTGGGTGTGTGCAGTTATTCTCAGGGTCATCTGTGACCTCTCAGCCTATCCTTACTTCCTGGAAAAAAGCTGTCTTCCTCCTTGTCCTCTTCACCCAGTGCTGGTCTTTCTGAAGGTCTCTGACAGCTGCAGCTGGCACAGCCACACCCATGTGCTGCACAAAGGCTGGGGGCGGGGCTTGGGGCCCCTACCAGTGGGAGCTGGGCGCCCCAGGAGGCGGCTTTTCCAAGTCTTGGGAGCCAGAGCCTCCTAATTCAGGAGCAGGGGTGCCGAGCTAGCAGGGCCTTCTCGTCCAGGCGGAGCAGGCGGGCAGGTCCTCAGCAGCCCTTCTGGTCCTTGGCGGGCACTGCAGGCCGTGGAGGGGTAGGACCAGCTTCCCGTGGTGCCTAGCTCTGTGTGGTGCGCTGGGCCACTCTGATGTGAATGAAAAGGCCAGGCTTGGTCGAGTGTGCTTGTAATGCAGCACTCGGGAGGCTGAGGTGGGAGGATTGTTACGAAATTGAGGCCAGCCCAGGATACGTAATGAACTCGGGGCCAGCCTGAGCCACATAGCAAAACCTTGACTCAAATAAAATAAAATTTAAATAAATGCTGTCAAGGGCCCTGGTTGCCAGTGCTGGTGCCCGCGCCACCCTCCCTTGGGGAGGTGGACCCATGCCAAGGTTCTGAACCAAACTGGGGCCACACATGTCCTAGAGCCAGGCAGGCAGCCCTGACCTGCTGATCCTGTGTGGGGACAGGCATCCTGCATCATTTCTGGGGCCTCAGAGGGACTCCACATTCTTTCCCTGCTGGCAGTGGCACCTGTAGCCCCCATTAAAACCTGCTTGGGTGGGTGTGGTGGTGCACATCTGGCGTCCCAGCACTTGGGAGGCTGAGGCTGGAGGATCCCTGGTAGCCTGAGGTCAGTCTGAACTGCATAGCAAGACCCTGTCTCAAAAAGATGGAAACGGGCTGATGAGATGGCTCAGTGGTCTAAAGCACCTACTTAGAACAAGCTTAGCAAAGCACAGGGACAGCGGTTTAATCCCCCAGCACCACAATCCCCCAGCACCACGTGCCAGCCAGCCCCGCCCCCTGGTGGGCTGAGCTGGCCACACACACACACAGACACACAAATAAATAAAATTAAAAAAAAAAAGATGGAAACAAAACAAAAAGAAACACTTCTTTCCAGAAAGCTTACATTGCCTTTATTTTTTATTTGTACATTTTTTGCGGGAATGGGGGATTAAACTCAGGTCCTTGTGCTTGCCAGCGAAGTGCTTATTCTACTGAGCTATCTCCCCACTGCTTTTCATTGCCTTTAAACCCCTTAGTCTATACAAACATTCATTTAAAGGAATTTTAGGGTTTTGTTTGTTTGTTTGGGATACAGGGCCTTGAACTCACTAAACCAGGATGGCCTCAAAGTTGGGTTGATCCTCTTCCCTACTGGGATTACAGGGGTGTGCCACTACACCTGGCGTAGATCTCTTAAAAGTCAATTTTCTTAAAGAGTTGAGCACAGTTAAGGGTGTGCAAAAAGGCTTGTGGGGACCCCACATTGGCGCTCCTCTTTAATAGGTGATAGACAGCCCCGAATCCTGGAGCAGGGCAGTCCCTGTGCCCTGCTGACTCTGCTGCTGGCAGTGTGGCGTCCTGGGGGAACTTGTCCCTTCCCTTCAATCTGATACCTGTGCTCACTCCAAATTTTGCAGTCTATTTTCAGATGTAAAGTGAGAGGGTGGTGGTTCGCAGGGAAGTGGCCTTGGCGAGCCGGAGACCACGGCGGTGGCAGTGCAGGTCGGAATAAGTCCACCCCTGGCCCAAGAACAGTGGCTCCCAGTCTTTCCAGGCCTCTGGGGCCGCGCCTGTGGGGCTGGTGTCCCCACTCCCGCGCCGCGGTTTCCGAGCCGCATCCACGGCGGCGGCTTGGTCCTGAGTCCTCCGGGGAGCAGGGGGGCAGAGCTGAGCGGCCGCCCAGAGCTGGGCGGGAGGAGGTGACGGGGGAGGGGAGGTGGGGAGATCCGGCTGGAGGGGAAGCTCCGACGTCGCCTTCCTTCCTGGTTCCTGCAGCAGCGGCGGCAGCTGCTGCCACTACTCGGCTCCGCGCGGAGGGAGCCGCGACTCGCACGGAGTGACTCAGAGGTGGAGCAGCCAGCGCCCCAAGCACGGGTGTCCATGGACCCCGGGGTAAGGGGGCCGCGCGGGCAGAGGCGGTATCTCCAGGAAGGCTTCCCCCTCCTGAGCTGGGCGCTGCTCCTCCAGATCCCAGGCAGGCATGGAGATGCCAGGGGTCCCCACCTGGCTCACGTTGGCCCCTCCTTCTTCCTGATGGAGCTCCCCTCCAGCGGCCAGCAGCAAGGGTCTGGGGGCCAGGGACAAGGGCACAGAGAAACCCGAACACTGGGAGAGTTTGTGAACTTTGAATGCTGACAGCAGGAGTTGCCCTGGGGCAGTCTTCTGCAGCTGGGGCCCCTCCACTGCAACCTTCTGGCCACCCTTCCCCTGCTTTGACCCTGTCCCCTCCTAGCCTGGCTCCTCAGGTGCTCAGCCGCCGCTCCCTGCTCCGTGTAAAGACCTGGGCTGCTTCCTGGCCTCGGGCAGCCTCGCCCCTCCAGCGCCTCGCTGGCTCCCACAGCCTCATGCATAATTGATCTCCCGGTGGAGCCAGGCGGGCCAGGGCCCCTGCCAAGGGCGCCTGTGGGCACTGCTGCAGGACCTGGGGACCTCGGCATGTTCTTGGCCATTTCTGCCCACGGTGCCCCCATCACTCTGTGGGCCTGTTTTCTTGGGTGGGTGCCACTTCTCAGGAGCTGGGAGGACTGAGGTGGGAGGAGGGGGGTTCGTGAGGCTTTGGGAGACAATGGGAGGGTACAAGTTGAGACAATGGGAGGGTACTTCTGGGTATGTGTGGCAGAAGGGGGCAGCAGGGAAGTGGGGGCTACCTCAGGCCACAGTGTCCCCATGCAAAAGTGGGGCCTTAGTAGCAGGGCATGAAAGTGCACGCCTGTAATCCCAGCCCTCAGGAGGCTGAGGCAAGAGGGCTCTTGAGAGTTCAGAGACCAGCCTGGGGGTACAAGTGAGCTCAAGGTCAGCCTGATCTGCATAGTGAGACCCTGCCTCAAAAAGGCGCGCGCGCACGCGCACACACACACACACACACACACACACACACACACACACACAGTGGGGTCTCCAGGATATGGGGACCAACCAAGGGAGTCTGAGGGTTGCTTTTCAGGGTGAGGCAGCTGAGCCAAGGCAGAGGGTGGGGGACCCTGGAGGAAGAGGATTCCAGATGGAGGGGCTCCTGATGGTCCCATTCCTGGCTCCCCCCCACCTCCTGGCATTCCAAGAAAGCCCAAGGGCTTCCTTAGCCCCTCAGGGTGCCCAAGGCTAGCTGGGCACTTTCTCCAGGTTTTCCCTTGGCGCCAGTCTGTCTGTGCCCTCATCCACCTCAATGAGCAGGCTATAGTGACAGGGTGTGGGCAGAGGGACCCGCCCAGGGTGGCATGGGGTAGATGGGGCGGGGAAAGCCCATTGGCATGGTTTCTAGCAGGGCGGCTCTCTGTTTCAAGGGCCCAGTCAGGACCAGGTGACAGATACCCTCACCCTTCCACCTGGCTCCACATCTGCCCTAGGGAGCGACCTCTCCCTCCACCATGGACTTCCAGGAGAGGGACACCCCGTCCCTGGCGGAGAGCTCTCAGTCCTCGAAGCCCAGCAGCAGCCAGCAGGTCTGGGGAAGTAGCAGTGGGTGGGCCTGGGCCTGGGCTGGGCCATGGGCTCACTGGCCGCCCTTCCCTGACTCCAACTGTAGGGCTTGGAGCCGTGGGAGGTGGTAGAAGAGCCCCAGGGCAAGCTGGGAGCGGAGGGTGTCAGGCCCCAGCGGCAGGAAGGCCACCTGCTCAAGAAGAGGAAGTGGCCCCTGAAGGGCTGGCACAAGGTAGGGTGATGCTGGGGTGGGGCTGCAGCAGGGGGCCCGGCGCTGGGAGAAGAAAAGCCTAAGTGTCTGCTCCCTCCTGCCTTGTCCTCCTGGCCTCGCCGTCCTGTCCCTCTCGGCAATGTCACAGAGGTACTTCGTGCTTGAGGACGGGATCCTGCACTATGCAACAACCCAGCAAGACGTGAGTGGGGCCCTGGCCAGTGTGGAGGGGCCTGCCTGAAGCCCCAAGCGGGCAGTGGGCACCTGTGCCAGCAGGGCAGGGTCTGGACGTGAACACCTTACAGTTGGTGCCCCAGTTCCTGGGTCCCTTCCCCTGGGCTCCACGTCTGCAGATTCAGCCATCTGCAGATCCAAAATCTATACTTATTTTTTAAAATTGTGTGTGTAGAACACACAGGGCTCCTCCGCGACACTCATCGCTGAACATCACAGCAAAACAATAATTGACCTGTGTTCATTCTGTCTTCCGTGCTGTTCGCCTCATTGAGCAGCAGGAGGCGGCTGACGCATCCCCTCCAACACTGTCGCTTGGGCCTGAGGTGGCCCAGAGGGCAGGGCTCTCGGCCCTGGGAGCCTGAGTCCAGCCCTGTTTCCCACTAATTGCACCGCAGATCATCAAGGGGAAGCTGCATGGCTCCATCGACGTCCGGCTGTCGGTCATGTCCACCAACAGAAAGGCCCAGCGCATCGACCTCGACACCGAAGACAACATCTACCACCTCAAGGTGCCGCGCAGGGCCTGGCCATGTGGCTGGAGCAGACGCCTGCCCAGGGTTGGGGTCCTGGGTTTGTTGCCGGGGCTCACATCTGAGGAGCCAGGAAGGTGTTTTTTTTTTTTTTTTTTTTTTTTTTTTTTTTTTTTTGTGGTACTGAGGATTGAACTCAGACCTGGGCCTGAGCGCTGAGCATCTTTCCTGAGTTGGCATGATAACGCTGCCACCACAGGCGGGCACGATGGGTCCCGTAATTTCAGTGCTCTGGAAACCCGAGGCAGGAAGAGGGTCAATTCAACCCAGCCTGAGTAAATCAGCAATTTTTTGAGACTCTGTTGCAAAATAAAAAGCCAAAATAACAGCTGGAGATGAAGCTCCGTAGGAAAGTCCTGGGTTAAACATCCAGGGGGTGAGGAGAAAGAAGAGAAAAGGAAGAAGAGAAGGAAGGAAGGAAGGGAGAGAGGGAAGGGAAACAAAAAGGAAGTTGCTGTTGTATAAACAGCTAAAGCCAGGATGCAGCTCAGCAGCGCAGCGCCTGCCTGGCAATCACAGGCCCCGAGTTCGATTCCAAGTACCAAAAGGAAAGAACAGTCAAGGGCAGCTCACGCTGTGGGCGCTCATATGAATAGGCACAGAGCGGCAGTATCCTGGGGGTGTCGTGCTCCACCACCCTGCAAGGGGCCTTTGCACAGACTAGGAGCTATAGGGGGACACCCTGCTTGCCTGGGGACCACAGCCCCCCTTCCATGCCCCCATCTCCTCACTTCTGCAGATCAAATCACAGGAGCTATTTCAAAGTTGGGTCACCCAGCTTCGTGCCCACCGCCTGGCCCAGCGCCTGGATATGTCCGGGGCCGCTCATCGCAAGGTAGGACGGGCCTGAGGTGGGCGCCAGTGGTATGGCAGTTCGGAGGTGGCACTTGTGGGAACGCTCCCTGACTCTTGGCTCATCTGCAGGTCCCTGGCACCCAGCTCCTAACAGTGGGCAGCACCTCAGCTCTGCCTGGGGTTGGGCCCCAGGAGAAGGTGTCCTCCTGGCTGAGGGACAGTGATGGGCTGGACCGCTGCTCGCACGGTGAGGGTGCACATGGGGCACCGACCTGGGCGCAGTTGGCCAGGTGGGGCTGATCCACAGGCTGGGCCAGGACCGAGATGTGGCGGCCAGGCCAGGGGCCTGGGCAGGGCGGGGATGCCTGCAGAGGTGCTGTCTTGGGTGGAGGGAGGAGGCGGAGGGCCTGGCCCACGTGGGGACTGATGCCCTCTCTCTGCTCCACAGCGCTCTCTGAGTGCCAGGGGAAGCTCCAGGAGCTACACAGACTCCTCCAGAGCCTGGAGTCTCTGCACCGCATCCCCTCAGCTCCTGTGATCCCCACGCACCAGGTGAGGGCCCTGGCCCTGTCACCCCAGGCAGGTTCCCTTCCTCTGCAGTGCTGCGGCTTTCAGGAGAGCCTCCCTCTGCCTAGCTGCTGAAGACTGCTTCTGCCCCTCCTGCACCCGAGCCCCTGCCAGGCTGCTGCCCCCCTCCTCACCTGTGAGTGAAGTTGCACCCCTCAATTGCCAGGCCTCGGGGACGGTGGAGAGGCCCAAGAAGGGCAAGCGGACCACCCGCATGTGGTGCACGCAGAGCTTTGCCAAGGACGACACCATCGGGCGGGTAAGCGGCCGTGGGCCCCAGTCGCAGGGCAGGATCCTGGGCGTGCAGTCCCCTCACCCTGCCCTCCTCTCCACAGGTTGGTCGCCTCCATGGCTCTGTCCCCAACCTGTCCCGCTACTTGGAGTCCCGGGACTCCTCAGGCCCCCGGGGGCTGCCTTCCCAAGACTATGCCCACCTGCAGCGCAGTTTCTGGGCCCTGGCGCAGAAGGGTGAGTGTGAGCTGGGGAAGGTGAGAGGACCAGGAGGTGGGAGGGTGATGTGTCCCTTGATATGCCCCAGTGTGTCCCCCACCCGCAGTGCACAGCTCCCTCAGCAGCATCCTAGCCGCCCTCACCTCAGAGCGGGACCGACTGCGGGACCTGCACCAGGGTACCCAGCTGTCCAGGCTAGGGGTGAGTCTGGGGACCAGCCGCCTCACAGGCCGCAGGGTAGGGGAGGGCGCAGGTGGAAGACGCTGGCTCCTCACTCGCTTCTCCCAGGTCCCAGGGACCCCAGCCGGGCAGCCTCGTCTCCACTCACTGTCCATGTCCTCAGACACCACGGCGGACTCCTTCAGTTCTCTCAACCCAGAGGAGGTGAGGTTCTCTGCACCTCCCTTACTGTGGAGTGGGCACTTTGGTTTTCAATGTGGAACTGAGCCCACAACACAGATTTGGCTATTCCTGGAACGACTGGGGGCCCCCTAGAGTGCACTATTCACCCAGTGTCTACAACTTGGTGTTCTGATCCTCCAGAGAGCAAAGCAAGGGCCAAACAGACCTCAGAGCTGAGAGAGTGGGGAAGTAATTGTACCTCCCCAAGAGTGTGTGTCAAGATGGGATGGGCTTGCCTGGTGCAAGGGTGCACATGAGTAATCCCAGCACTCGGGAGGCTGAGGCAGGATGTAAGGCCAGCCTGGGCTACAAAGTGAGACCCTGTCCCCTGCCAAAAAAAAATGAATGAATTAGTAGAGGGAAGGGGCTTGGAGCAGGGCTCAGAGTGAGTGTCGTGCCAGCAGGCCTGGCTCTCCAGAGTGGCCACGGGCCTGATGCCTGTCCGGCCCCCACAGCAGGAAGCTCTGTACATGAAGGGGCAAGAGCTGACCCCGCAGCTGTCCCAGAGCAGCGTCCTGTCCCTGGCTGACTCCCACACAGAGTTCTTTGATGCCTGTGAGGTCCTCCTTTCGGCCAGCTCGTCAGAGAATGAGGTGAGGGCAGGGGCAGCTGGTGGCAGCATGGCGGGCACCTGGGGGATGCAGGTGGGGTGTCTAGAGACCGGAAGCTGCAGGTTGCCCCATCCTCTTCCTCCTCCTGGATTGCAGGAGCAGGGAACACGTGGGCGGGGCCAAGTGGCTTGGCTCAGAAATCTGCCAGGGCCCCAGCTGCAGCTTCAGCCTCGTTTTCCTGTGCCCCTTTTTGGCTTCTGTGTTCCTTTGACTTTGTTTCCCCAAACCCAGAAATTCACTCAGCAGTCCCCCATGTGTCCTAGAGTCCTGCTGAGCCTCACCTCAAGTGACTGGGGACATTCCCTGATGCCAGACCCCTCGCTCAGGCAATGTCTCAGGTCTTTGAGACCCCAGTGCCTTCCTTGTCCCTTCCCACCAAGGGGCCAGCTGGGCAGGACTGGGGAGGCCCTGGGCATCTGCCCAGTGTCATCTGTCCTTGCCCAGGGCTCAGAGGAGGAGGAAGAGTCGTGCACCAGTGAAGTCACCACCAGCCTGTCGGAGGAGGTGCTGCAGCTCAGGGCCACCGACCACTGTCAGAAAGGTGCCAGGTGGCAGTGGGTGGGGGGCGGAGCCTGGGGCCAGTGTCAGTCCCTTGTGATGGGCTGGAGCTGAGGAAGGCTAGGAGGCAGCTTGCAGGCGCAGGTCTAGGATGCAGGCTGGGAAGCCTTGTGTAGGGCCTCACAGAAAGGCATGTGGTCACACAGCACCAGACAGGCAAAAGGTCCCAGTCTTCAGGGTGGTGCATGCCTTTGATCACAGAGCGGCTTTAGGTCTGTCATTTTATTTTTTCCTTTCTAGAAGAGGCAGCATCATCAGCCCCCTGGTGTCTGCTTCTGTTTATAAGGGACGGGGGAGGGTGGGACTTGGCAGGGTTTTGGGCATCTCGGCTGGCAGTGGCGCTGTCCCCTCAGCAGGTCACCTAAGTACCTGGGAGCTTGTCACCAGTCAGGTCCCAGTCACCCAGCCCTCCACAGGATGCAGCAGCCAGGGCCAGGATTCAGGTTGTCTGTTAGCCAGTGTCCGGGAGTGACCTGGCCAGGTGGCCCAGGGGCCTGTGTTCCAGGAAGAGCCCCGGGGCCTCCGCGCCGCCGCTGCCTGCCCGCGGCCAGTGGGCCAGGGGCCGACGTGAGCCTGTGGAACATCCTGCGGAACAACATCGGCAAGGACCTGTCCAAAGTGTCCATGCCCGTGCAGCTCAACGAGCCGCTCAACACGCTGCAGCGGCTCTGCGAGGAGCTGGAGTACAGCAGCCTCCTGGACCAGGCCAGCCGCCTGGCCGACCCCTGCGAGCGCATGGTACGCGGGCGGCCCGGGGGTCCCTGGTAGGCCCACCCCGCTGCTCTGGGGCGGCGGTCCTGGCCCCTTGCCCAGCGTCCCCCTCTGTCGCAGGTGTACATCGCTGCCTTCGCTGTCTCTGCCTACTGCTCCACTTACCATCGCGCAGGCTGCAAGCCCTTCAACCCAGTCCTTGGGGAGACCTACGAGTGCGAGCGCCCCGACCGCGGCTTCCGCTTCATCAGCGAGCAGGTGCGACCAGGCCAGGCCTGGGGAATGGGGGGGGTCCTGCTGCGGGGAGCCCCACCTGCAGAGGCCAGGCCTGGGGAATGGGGGGGTCCTGCTGCGGGGAGCCCCACCTGCAGAGGCCAGGC